TGATACCTTACAAGGTTGAAACGATCATCTGGGGTTGCTGCATCTCTCGTGCTGAGGGATCTGGACTGCCCATACACGTGGGGCCAGTCTGATATGCTTCAGATATGTTCTCTCTGTAAAGGCACAAGATGAGCTAAAACCAGCTTGAAATCTGAGCGGGGACCCACCGAAGGGCAGGCTAATTGAGCTGTTGTCTGTTCTGACCACTCTTGCTACTTGTTTTTCTCTCCTTAATATTTTATATTTACTGATGTACTCCATGTTTATTTAACTTTTTAGATTCTATGTTAGGGAAATTTCCATGTGATTGTTACAAAATTATTTCTTCGTATTTTTATTAGATGCATATTTCTGTGCCGCTTTGCTTTCCCTTAATTGATTGTACTATTTCTATCAGCCCCCTCCTTTTAAGGTGTGCTCATGCACTTGCTGAATACAAACTTGTCATTATCAGGCTTGTGAAATAGAGTTTACTCTGAGTCACAGGGGCCTGATGCAGGAAAAATATTCCAGGCCTGCAAACAGGGGTTTTTTTGGTTGAGGAGAAAAATTAACCTGCTTAGAAGGAAAATCCTAAACTGAATTTACAATATCATAGAACATATATATTGAAAGCCCATTTGGTGACAATTTATTATTCAGAAAGGGTTTTACCAGTAAGTATACGCTGAGAACTTTATTTTTTCCAAATATGCTATGTTATGAAATGCATTAAAGGGACACTGTATACTTCATCTCATTGAAGTGGTTAAAGGAAAACTTTAGTGTTAGGAATACAAAGATGTGTCTCTCTGCCCCGGTCTCCCCACCATGTCCATGTGATGGGTTAACAAAATCTTCAGCATCAATGTCTCTCTGCGCTGGGTCATGCTCCTCTCAAAACATGGGTGGTCAAACTCCATGAAACTGCAGAAAGCACCTCTAGTAGCTGTCTGGTAGTGGCAGTCTTAGCAGTGCTATGTAAATATTACAGTGATTCTAAAACTGCAATGTTTTACATTGCAGAACTAAGGAGACAGGAACATTGCACCCAGGCCACTTCAATAAGATGAAGTGGTCTGGGAGCCTATAGTGACCTTTTAAAGTGTCTGCAGTCACATGGCTCAAACTTTCCCTTAAATTCCCATCTGTGGATATTGATCAGTCGCAGCAAACTTTCAATTATAAGTGATTTTAGGTGCGCAAATACCCTAACAACCTCCTGATACTAGCCACAACAGTCTACACTGTAGACTTACTTAATGCCGGTCCAGAGCTCTGCAAAAGTTGTTGGAAGTGCAGCTGCGGCCTCCGACTACTTGCAGTATGGCGTGGCCCTGAGGCCGGAGAAGCGGCCGTTCTCCCCGCCCGGGTCTGACTGGACACTCATGAGGTACACAGAGCCCCGTAATCCCCCCACCACCACCACAAAGGCTCTACCTTGCCAGAACTCCTGGACGCACACAGTACACGCGGTTCCTCCAAAAGGGCCGCAGGTAAATCTGCTGCTAAGCGGGAAACACAGGCATTAGCCCGAAACTCAGAGAATTAATTCCAGAGGGTATTTGATGATATTTGTCAGTGGTTTTGGAGAAAATTGGAGGAGACCACCTACACAGTCCACTATCTTGCCTGCTCCTGTGACACAGTTTCCAGGCAAAGGCTCAGCCAGGAAGATCCCTACTAGGCGAAGAAACAACAAAGTACATGAAACCAAACTCAGCCTGCGCACCATGATAAAACACCTAGGATCCCAGCACCTTTGCTTGAAGGCAGGTTGGATGGCCAGCAAACACCGGGCTCAGATTCCTGAGGGCACCCAAGGCTGGAGAGAACCTGTAAGAGCTGCTTCCTGGGAGACATGAACACCCTAAAACCTCTAATTGGACTCTGTCTCTGCCTAACAGCTAAGGGCATAGGTTGAGTGAGTTCAGATAGTCAGAGCACCTAGGATGCAGTCATTAAGTTAGAGCTAATAATGATGCTGCAATTTCACTGATGCTTGCTTTTCTCCTTCTGTCTTATTACCATGTTTTCTTACTTTCTTGTTCAAGTCATCAACTAACATGCCTGACGCTAATGCCTATAAATATCAAGCTACCTGGTGGTTTAATTTTAATTTTATTATGTTAACTACAACATAGCCTGTTGTGACTTATGGTATGCTATTTTATGCATGACCCACTTAGTGATGTCGCGAACCCGAAATTTTCGGTTCACGAACGGCAAACGCGAACTTCCGCCAATGTTCGCGAACCGGCGAACCGCCATAGACTTCAATGGGCAGGCGAATTTTAAAACACACAGGGACTCTTTCTGGCCACAATAGTGATGGAAAAGTTGTTTCAAGGGGACTAACACCTGGACTGTGGCATGCCGGAGGGGGATCCATGGCAAAACTCCCATGCAAAATTACACAGTTGATGGAGAGTCTGGTCTTAATCCATAAAGGGCATAAATCACCTAACATTCCTAAATCACAATGGATATGGATTGACACCTGACATATGACATATTAAAACCTTGATATATGGATTGACACCTGTCCTCAGAGACCCTGATACACACTGACACAGAGCAGAATAGAGACTGTTCCTCCAACATAGGGTCACTTGGCAGATATGGATTGACACCTGTCCTCAGAGACCATGATACACACTGACACAGAGCAGAATAGAGACTGTTCCTCCTACATAGGGTCACTTGGCAGATATGGATTGACACCTGTCCTCAGAGCCCCTGATACACACTGACACAGAGCAGAATAGAGACTGTTCTCCTACATAGGGTCACTTGGCAGATATGGATTCACACCTGTCCTCAGAGATCATGATACACACTGACACAGAGCAGAATAGAGACTGTTCCCCTACATAGGGTCACTTGGCAGTTATGGATTGACACCTGTCCTCAGAGACCATGATACACACTGACAGAGAGCAGAATAGAGACTGTTCCCCCTACATAGGGTCACTTGGCAGATATGGATTGACACCTGTCCTCAAAGACCATGATACACACTGACACAGAGCAGAATAGAGACTGTTCCCCCTACAGGGTCAGCAAATATGGATTGACACCTGTCCTCAGAGACCATGGACAGAGCATATGGATTGACACCTGTCCTCAGAGACCATGATACACACTGACACAGAGCAGAATAGAGACTGTTCCCCCTATATAGGGTCACTTGGCAGATATGGATTGACACCTGTCTTCAGAGATCATGATACACACTGACACAGAGCAGAATAGAGACTGTTCCGCCTACATAGGGTCACTTGGCAGATA